AGCATGTTCCATAACGACATCGCAAAAAAGCTAAAATTTCCAAAGTCCGTTACCGTTACTTATGTGCTTAAAAAATACAATGAATGTTTATCTTTAAAAAGGAGCCCTGCTAGTGGCAGAAAAAAAGGATTTGCTTGCGAAATTAAGGCAAAGGAAGTGTTATCTGCTTTTAAGAAAAATCCTGGACTTTCGGTAAGAGATGTCGTCAAAAAATTAAACATGTCGTCTTCGTATATACAAAAAGTATGCAAAACAGCAGGACTACGTTCTTACAAAGTGAATGCAGCGCCTAATCGCAACGGTAAGCAAAATTTGTTGGCGAAACAACGTGCTCGGAAATTGTACGACAGTCTCATACAAAAATTTGGCTGTATTGTTATGGATGACGAATCGTACGTAAACGCCGATTTTAAACAAATCCGGGGCCGCGAATTTCACACTGCAAATAAAAGAGGCAATGTTGCAGATAAATATAAAAACAAAAAGTTTGACAAATTTCCCAAAAAGTTTCTCATTTGGCAGGCAATTTGCCAATGCGGCTTCAAAAGTGATCCTTTTGTAAGCACTGGTACAATTAATCAAGAAATTTATGTTAAGGAGTGTCTGCAAAAGCGACTTTTACCTCTTATACGGCTTCATAAAGATCCAGTGCTTTTTTGGCCTGATCTCGCGATATGTCATTACGGAAAAATGGCTTTAAGATGGTAACATAGAAACAAAGTGTATTTTGTAGCAAAAGAGGTGAATCCACCTAATTGTCCAGAGCATCGGCCGATCGAAACCTACTGGGCCGTTATGAAATCCAAACTTCTTAAGACCCACAAAGCTGTAAAAAACGCACAACAATTCAAAAATAAATGGCAGTTGGTTTCCAAGGAAATCACTGAAACTTCTGTGCAAGGGCTAATGAAGGACATAAAGTCAAAATTGCGATCGTTTGCTTATTACAAAGAGAATTAACTCTTTTTTAACGAATTTCAATAAAACTAAGTTTAGATGTAAATATATGTAAATATCGTTGAATTCCATTAATATATTTATGTTTTAGAACGTTTTAACTGTGACCAGTTTTTTTCGTGTACATTCTTTATTTGCAGTCTTTATCTAAAAAACAACTTCTACATAATTCTAATTTTCTCGTTATTTTTACTTTTGTGAAAACAAAGAATTTCTTCATACTCCGTTCAGAACCTAATTTTTACGTAAAGAAGTAAGGAATCAGCCGAATTCCTGTCAGTTGCGTACACATATGTATATACATATTTATGTATATACTGGCAAGTTAAAAATAAAAATAACATCAAAAAGGCATTCAAATAAAGCTTGGTTTTTTTCATTTTTTGTCAACTTGTTACATTCACTGATATTTCCATTAAAATTCGCTTTTTCGCATCCACACTTTGCACACCGCCCATTTAATTTCGCACCGGAATGCCTATTAGCTACCCACATAAATATGTATATCATATCCTTTATTTACATATCTTATCTAACATTTGCTTAATTTATGCATAACAAGTGCACTATAAATAACGTAAAAATATTTACTTCAATCACAAATAATTTTCCAAATATTTGTGACAGAATGTCGCATATCCCTGCAGCCTTTTTATGCGGCCCATCTAAAGTCGAAATCAAATAGAAATTTGCGTGTTTAGTTGAAATTAACACGTGTCAAATGGGCATTTACATATGTTTCACTTGAATTTTAGAGCATATGTACAAATATACTTAACTGTCATATTTACCATGTTCATACATATATGCCTACTTGTATGTACATACGTATATGAAATTAAATATTATTTATCACAACTCGAATGGATTTGTCTGAGCAAAAACAAATGTTGTGTATTTAAACGAATGTGGCGGCAGTATGGTGGCATATTTTTTAGGTTAAATAATTAATCAGTAAAGAAAAATATCTCTCGTTAAAAGTTGCTGAAATATTACATTAACAAATTCACACTCGAATATTAAAATTGCCAGTAACACATGTTTAAGAAATTAATTTACCAATTTCTTTTTCTCTCGAATAGTTCAAACTTCGAGGAGATTATTCCAATAGGCGTCTCGAAACCTCATCTAATTTTGTTTTTCATTTGCATACATATATAAGGAGTGCTGATGAGGGACCGTAACAGTTACAACTTTTATTTAAAAAAAAACGCTTTTTAACAATTATTTTTTTACTTTTATTTAATTACTTCTTGAATAACCGCTATTTCTGACTTTTATTTTATAAATCCAAAATAACAATTATTTTTGAATTTAATCTAAATAATACGCAAATAACAGTTATTTTTGATTTTTAAATTATATGTCTTAGATAACAGTTATCGAAGACTTTTATTTGTAAAAGTCATAAATAATACGAATGATTTAAAAAGTAAAAAGTCGGTGACTGATTTATATTGAAGACTTTTTAAAGTCAGTTTTTCACTGACTGATGCTTATTCATGACTTTTATAAACAAAAGTCTTCAATAACTGTTATCTAAGACACATAATATAAGAATCAAAAATAATTGTTATTTTGGATTTATAATATAAAAATCAAATATAATTGCTATTTTTTTAATTTTGCATAAAAATTACAAATAAAAATTTATTTTCAAATTGTAGTCTCGCTGGAAAAAAAATCGATTGGCATGTATTACTTAGTTGTAGAACATGTTCCTCATAGTAAAAGTTGCCATGACAGTTTTCATCAATAACTGTTATGTTCGGTCCCCGGTTCTGATAGGTTTTTTCCCCTCCTGAGCGCTTTAGACGCATATATATGGCTAATCCTCGCCCGATATCGGCTGACGGAAAATTTCTTTAACATTTTTTGGGCATGTAGGCGAATATTCGTCCTTTTCAATTAAAAAAAAAAATGTGTATCTTATGAAGTATTCATTGCG